TTACAACAAATAAAATTTACACCTCTCGTCGTGTTCGGTTTGTCGAAACTGAGTTTCCTTTTTCAAAATCGTATTCTGCTGACTTTTCAACTCTTTCTACCTCTCTTAATACTTGGAATTTACCTTCAACTTATTTTTCTACACCAACTACGTCACTACCCATTGATGTACAACAACCAACGCCAATCATTGCATCATCGCCGCCTCTTTCTGAAGAGTCGGGTACTTCCGCTCATAACTCTTCTCCTCTCACTAATGGTTCTTCCTCGCCTCCCATCTCTAGTTCTCATGCTGCAGATCTTCCTCATGCCAATTCATCACCAGAACTTCCAGCCTTCTTATGCCAACAACTCCAACTAAATCAATACAGCAAACTCCTTCTCATTCCATGACCACTCCTTCCAAAAATAAAATTTTCACACCCAAACGTCTCTATCAAACTACTACAAATCATCCTCTTCCCGACTCTATTGAACCCACCTGTGTTACCTAAGCCATTAAAAATGTTGAATGGCGGCAAGCCATGTCTGATGAGCTTACAACACTTCATCGAAACGGAACATAAGAACTCGTCCCCTCCTTCTCCTTCTCAAAATGTAGGTGGCTGCAAATGGGTTTTTCAGATTAAACGACATCCTGATGGCTCCATCTCCAAGTACAAAGCCTGTCTCGTCGCCAAAGGATTTCATCAACGTCCCGGTATTGATTTTCATGACACCTTTAGCCCGGTTGTCAAACCAACGACTATTTGGCTCATACTTTCTCTTGCCTTGTCCAATGACTGACCTCTACGACAATTGGATGTCAACAACGCTTTAATTCATAGAACACTATCTGAAGAAGTCTTTATGTAGCAACCGTCGGGATTTGTTGATCAAAACAATCCGAACTTTGTTTGCAAACTAAGAAAGGCAATTTACAGTCTTAAACAGGCTCCTCACTAAGCCCCTACCGTCAGTCACCTTTCACAACTTACGCTCCAAGATCGGTATCTCCAATGGCACTGTCTTGCAGGGGCATATTAAAGCACCTTCATCAGAGGCCACCACATCAGCAATATCTCAACAACCTGTGGAAGCTTCAACGTCCTCACCATCAGACTCGGCTTTTCCACAAATCTCTCCTTAAGTCTTGGTCACCACCTTTCTCTCGCCATACTCAAATGTTTCCGTTGCAGCTGCTTTAACAAACTCAGCTCCTATTTTATCTCCATAGATTTCCTTCAAAAGTTGGTTATAACAATAGCTATGTTATTCAAAAGTTTGTACTTATCATTTTCTTGTATTTAGGCATCTTTGTTTTATGCCTAAGTGTACAGCTCTATATATATATATATATATATAAACTTTGTAAACCAAATTTAGCAACGCAATTAATCAATATTCAGATCATATATTCTTGTTACCATCTTCCATCCCCAAAGTGATGACCAAACAAAGCATATTAATGCACTCTTGGAGTTGTATTTAAAGCACTATATGAGTGCCAACCAACGGGATTGGGCAGAGTTGCTTGATGTGGCCCGATTCTATTACAACCTGCAGAGGAGTGAAGCGGCAAATAAAAGTCCTTGCGAGGTGATCATGGGAAGACAACCAATGGCGCCTCTTGTGCATGCCCTAAGCTATGAGGGCAAGAGTCTAACAACATTCAATTTTGCAAAGTCAGGGATGAGAAGCCGAGTTAGCTCGAGCCTATTTGAACAATGCGTCAAAAAGGACGAAGAAGTGGGCCGACAAGAAGAGGAGGCTGCTAGAATTCAATGACGGCGATCTTGTCGTGGTGAAACTCCTTCCCCAACAATTCAAGTTCTTAAGGAAAGTCTATAAGGTCTTGGTGAGGAGATACGAAGGGCAATTTCCCATCATTCGACGTGTTGGAAAGGTTTCCTACCAACTCCAATTGCCTCTAAAACTCAAGATTCATCTGATCTTCCATGTTAGTCTCTTGAAGCCGTATCACGAAGACATGGAAGATCCTAACTCAAGGAGAGTCCAAACGGGCACCAACCGCAGTAGTGACTTCATTCAATAAAGAGGTGGAAAGCATACTCACGGATCATCTCGTTCGAAGACGGGGCGTACCAAACTACCGTGAGTATTTAATCAAGTTGAAGAAGTTGCCAAAAAGTGTGGTGAGCTGGGAGCATGAAGATGCACTTTGGCAATTCAAGGATGTTGTTAGCTGGGAGCATGAAGATGCACTTTGGCAATTCAAGGATGTTGTTAGCTGGGAGCATGAATATGCACTTTGGCAATTCAAGGATCATATCCAACAGTTTTAGGAAGAAGGCACGACGAGGGCGTCGCGAGCTTAGGTGGGGGAGAATGTCACAAGCTGCATAATTTTGCTCCATCCTAAGTCCTAGAGGTTCGTGAAGACTCTAGGATTCTCTAGAGTATTCTTGAAGGATAGAGCACTCTAGAACATCCTTGAGAAATCATGTCTTTTCTAAAAGGTTTCATAATGTTTTAGAAGTCTCCATCGCGATCGGGAGGACTCTGGAAGAATCTAGAAGCATCTTGAACTCTCTGGAAGTCTCTAGAATTCTTTAGAAGACTTTGAAAGCCATTAGAACTTTCTAAAACTTCTAGGAGTATGTAGCCTTCTAGCAACTTGCAGAGGTTTCTAGATAGACCTAGACCTTGTAAGTAAACTAGAAAGCATACTAGAACATTCTAGGATAGCTATCTTTCCGTAAAGTTCTACAATTCTCCTTAAGAAGCCAATGGCCTATAAATAGGGGAGAACACCCCTCAGTTGTACTCAACCCTCAAAACTTCATAAACATTCACTCACTAATAGAAGTCTTTTTTCTCTAACTTTCAAAAGTATTCTCTTAGTGTCTTGACTTAGCTTTCCATTACTTCTTGCCAAGTCTTGTGAGTTCGGGTGAATTCAGGCTGACTTAGCATCGAGAAGTGCTACGGCCGTACGATCAAGTTGTGAAAAAGAAATAAGGCTGTGACGCTGCTCAAGAGAAGTAGGCATTGTACAAAAATTTATGCGCTTAATTTCCAATCAACTTAGACTAACAAAATGGATTCAATTTTTTTTCCTAACTTTGGAGGTATTAATGTAAGTAATAACAATTGTTGACGGTGAAAATTTGTCAATTGGATTAATTCAGATTTAGAAGTGATTAACGTGATAAGGACGGGTTAATTTTGCTTTGAGAAGGCTTTTTAAAGATAATTAAGAAGAGAGAATGCTAAGATTTATAGTGGTTCACTCTTTTATTTAAGTGTTACGTCTACTATGAGTATGAGAGAATTTTTGTTATGTTCTGAGTATCCAAGTTATAGAATGAGAGCCCCCTAGGCTTGCCCCTTTTTCATGTATATATTTGCTCTATCCTCCCTCAACCTCTACCATTTTCATCATTACACTCTGTCATTTTGTCTCGATATTTTTGGATGTAATCCTTGATGAGTGGGGTTTCTACCAGTCAACAGTGATTTTTCACCTATTCCCCTACCAACTTTGCTTGCTTACAAGTCACGTAAAATATCCTGCAGGTTCAGTTCTTGCAGTTCTTTTTCGGGCTGTGTGCCATCAGTTTCTCAGGCGCTTATCAAGCCATCTCCGTTTACATCTACCTAGAGCAGTCGACCTCTTGCTTATCTTGACTCTTTTGTACGGTCGACCTCTTGCTTATCTTGCAGTCGGCCTATATCGAGTTTCATTTTGCATATCGTTGACGCTGAGCTGGCATGGCCATTAATCCTCCAACTGTGCCACGTAGCGCTCATCTAGTGCCTGATTTAGGGAGTGAGATTTTATCCTACAACAATGATGATCATTTCATCCATAATCTAAGCAAATTATAAGAGGTTGTAGGGTAAAAATTCATTTCTAGGATTTCAATTTACAAGGGTACTTTTTATTAATTGAGATGTGTAGCGTCAATTTACAATCATCCCAAAACACAATTTTATATTTCATTGGGGAGTTTTTTACTAGGTCAGTATTATCCATAGTGTAAATTTCTGATTGTTGGATCACGTTAAAATTATATCTAATTAAAAAAATATACATAATAAATAATTTCTAATATGAATCTGAAAATAAAAAATTACCTGTTCATTTTTTCTAATTTTCCCACTTCACTGATGTTAAATTTTAAAAAAAAAAAATTGGGGCTATTCTTTTACCGTTTTTGAATTAGGTGACTTGAGTGTAGATTTTGAGTTAAGTTTGAATTATAACTTGAGTTGAAATTGTAACTTGAGTTTGTATTTGGTTGTATACATTTGAGTTATGGTTTGAGATAAGAATCTTTTTAAGTTTGTGTTTAAGTGAGTCAAAACTTGAATTTGTATTTAGATAGTATTTTTATAAAAACTCAATGCTGATGGAAAATTTTAATAGAGTATATGGGTGTGGTTTTATTCGTCTTTTCGTTGTGAATGCATAAAAAAATCATCTCAATCAGAATTAAAACGAAAAAGTTATAGCATTTTTAAGAATAAAAAAAATATTCTTCATTAATTTGAGTTCGAGTTTCTGAACTCGAGTTGAAGGGAAAATTTGAACTCGAGTTTTAGTCCTAAACTCGAATTCAAATTCGAATTTAAACTTAAAAAAACATAAACTTAAATAAAATTGTAACTCAAATTATTTTTTTAAATTTTTGACTCAAAAAAAGCTACTAAACAGCCCTTTTATTACTCGAAAATACAGGCTTTGTTCGTTTCACTGATTCGAGTTTAGAATTCGAGTTGATATGTGATTTTATGTGAGAGCTTTTTACTATAGTAAAAATGTTAAATGTGACTATTTATAAGAGCTTTTTACTATAACAAAACTCAAATTCTAAACTCGAATCAACGAAATGAATGAGATAACAATCGTCCCAAAATATGCTTGTATATGAAAGTGCGTGATTATCTTATCGTTGCTCGGCATTATCTTTTTTTTTTGGGGTCCGCACTTCCTACAGAGAACCCACTTTTTTTGTCCACTCCTCATTCTTATTCATCACTAACCTTTCTTTCTTTCTTTCTTTCTTTCTTCTCAGTCTCTCTCAACTCTCTTTGCTTTCCACTGAATATATTCCTTGCTTTACAGTTCTGCATATGTGAGTTCCGTTTTCCTAAAGCCTCACAAAGAAAGATGCCAAATTCGAATTCCCCCATTTGATTTAAAGCTCTATCCTTTCTCTCCTTTTCCTCTCTTTCTCCGTCTCCTTCTCTGTCAGCCATGAAATTTTTTGAAGCTTGATAATAAGTCTTCTTCCTTATTCTTCTTCACCTTTTTTTCTTTTGTAGCTTTAATAAGAAGAACTAATTAGCCTCAAAAAAGAAAAGAAAATGCAAGCTTCGGTTCTTGATAGTATAATTAATAGGCTTCTTGAAGTTAGGACCAATCCGGGAAAATTAGTTCAGCTTTCAGAGGGAGAGATAAGACAGCTTTGTTATGTTTCTAGAGATATTTTCATGAGGCAGCCCAATCTGTTGGAGCTTGAAGCACCGGTCAAGATTTGTGGTACTTTTCTGTCAACCCTTTGTTCTGTTTTCTCTTATTTTGATTGAATTTATGGATTTTTTAATTGGACTTGGAAAATTCTTTTCTGGGTATGCTTTAATTTGTGTTCTTATACTAGTTTAGACTAGTTAATTAGTGTTGTTTTTAGTGTTACTATAAGTTTTTCTTAGCTTGAAGTTAACGTGTTGTTTTATGCTGTGGATTTATTGTACATGCTTTAAATTGTTGATTCAGTTTTCTAGAGAACTATGGTCATTAAATCTGGTTACCTTTTGGAGTATTATGAATAAGTGTTTAGGAAAAACCAAGTATTTGCAAATCTTTTTGCACCTTATTTAGTACATTTTGAATTACACTCGGAGAATTTATCCTTTTTCTGGGACTAATATGCAGCCTAATAAGAACGAGATTGTTTCTTTCCATCATCTCGTGTCTGAAATTCAGGCTGCATACTGCGTCTTAAATAATTCATGTTGGAAGTGTATCATAGTTTTCACATAGACTTACACCAAAATTTCTACATAAAATGAAATCTACAATCATTGCAATTGATTCAAGTGAAAACATGTTAGAAATACATTATACTGAGGAGTTATGGAGCGACTCAATTTAACCTTTTGCCCTTGTTGTTCTTCTAAATTGATGGATGGAAAACATCGCAACATGTATATATGCTGGTCCTTTGGAAAGGTTTATCATACAGTCTTAAACACAAATGTCTATTTTACATTTTCATGTCTGAGTGCAGAGAGAATATATATCATAAGCTCAGTTAATATTTTGATGTTACTTGTATGTTAAGTTACCACACAATCATGTCCATAGTAACCCTTTTACTCTGGCTTTTAATGTTAAGCCTTAAATTTTGTTACCTTTTATTTTACATTTTACCCTATCAAGACAATAATTTTTCTAGATATGCTTCATGTCATCTAGGTGATATTCATGGCCAATACTCTGATCTTCTAAGGCTTTTTGAGTTTGGTGGATTACCACCTCGTTCGAACTACTTGTTCTTAGGGGATTATGTAGATCGCGGAAAGCAAAGCCTCGAAACAATATGCCTTCTCCTCGCGTACAAAATAAAATACCCTGAAAACTTCTTCCTCCTCAGAGGCAACCATGAATGTGCTTCCATAAACCGCGTATATGGCTTCTACGACGAGTGTAAACGAAGATTTAATGTTAGACTTTGGAGAATATTTACAGACTCCTTCAACTGCCTTCCTGTGGCTGCGCTGATTGATGAAAAGATACTCTGTATGCATGGAGGACTTTCTCCTCATTTGAACAGCTTGAATCAAATAAGAACAATTCCACGACCAACCGATGTCCCAGAACAAGGCTTGCTATCTGATCTCCTCTGGTCTGATCCTAGTAAAGAAATTCAAGGTTGGGGCCCGAATGATAGGGGAGTGTCATTTACATTCGGCGCTGACAGAGTTGCTGACTCGCTTAGAAAACTCGATCTTGACTTAATTTGTCGAGCTCACCAGGTTCAAATTTTATAACATGAAAATTTGTTAGCATTAAACAGCCTAAAGGGTCTTCCCTGAATGATTCATGTGACATTATTATTTGCAGGTTGTAGAAGATGGATATGAGTTCTTTGCTAATAGGAGACTTGTAACCATATTTTCGGCGCCCAACTATTGTGGAGAATTCAACAATGCCGGCGCCATGATGAGCGTCGACGAGACCTTAATGTGTTCTTTTCAAATCTTAAAGCCTACTGATAAGAAGCCAAAGTTTGGCTTTGGAGGTTCATCTGCTAAGCCAATTTCTCCTAATAAAATCAAGGTACAATCATTCTTGCTCCAAATATATGACCTTTTTATATCTTTGTGTTCATTTCTGATGAGACTTTTTTTTTTAATTGTTATTCTTCACAGTCATTTCTATTTTAGATGAGCCGTCAGCCAAGGACAATACTAAAGGAATTTCAACTGTGAGATTTTAAGAGGCTGCAAATTTTCTTCTCCCTTTTTTTTTTAATTTTTATTTTGACCTCTATTGGTGGTGGGGTCTTGCTTTAGCTTGTAGAGAACCTCTTGCAAGACTCCGCCACTTTTATGTAAGTATCAAAGCGCCATTATAATTGAGGCTTTCTCAATGGTTGTATTCTTTTATAATAGAAAATCTCATTGAAGGCTCACAAAATCTTTCAATTTTTTGCCTTCCATTTGCTTTGGATCTTTCACTTTCTCACGAGAAAATGAGACAAATACCCCCTAAAGTGCATTACATGAGTCCGGACTTTTAACTCTCACTTTTGATTAATATCTTTTTTGGTCAAGTAATTATTTAGTTAAAAATGTATTAATTAAGAATAAAAAGTAAAAATTCAGACTCATACTCTTTAAAGATAAGTTTAGTAAGGAGACGTTTAGTAAGGAAATTTACACCATAATTTGAATCATGATTCATGATTCATTACAGTATTTTTTTCTTACAAAAAATACATGTAAATTAAAAATGGTTCGATTCTAATCTGTGAACCAAACATTTCTTAAATTTTTCTTCGTTTCCGATCCATCTCGCCTAGACTAGCCCGTATATATATTTACATTAGTTAAGCCACTAGATTAGCCCAGCTCGGACTTGATGGCCCATTCAAACGCTTGATTTGAATCAGATTTAGGGCCCGTTCACTTCGCTGATTTGAGTTTGTAATTCGAGTTTATATGTGATTTTGTGTGAGCTTTTTACTGTAGCAAAAAAAGTTAGATGTGACTGTTTCTGAAAGCTTTTTACTGTAGTAAAACACGAATTCTAAACTCGAATCAGCGAAATGAACGAGACTTTAATATTTAATTGTTTAATTTGAAGAATGTTCTAGATCTCTTAAAATTGAAGGTTATTTGCTGTAAACTCATAATTTTTTTTTTATTATTCCCCTCTGTTTATTTCTCATGTGTTTAGGAATGTCATGACTATCAATGAACTTGGGGTGCGGAGATTTAAACTTTATATTTTATACTGAAATCAATTGTCAAATTATCATTAGGCTATCCCTACAACGACAAAATCTCATGACTATTTAACGTGTTTTTAAATGGGAAAATCTCAAAAGTATCTTTGGAGTTTAATCAAAATATGATAAATACCCTTGGTTTAAACTAATTAGAAAAACGTATCCTCTATGCTTTCAGATTCATCTGAGTAGTTCACATGTTGATCATAATTCAATGTAAGGAATACCTTTTAGATTATTCAAAAAAGGATAAATTTAAACCTTTTTGCGAACTTTAGGTATTTTCAGTTTTTTTTTTTTTTTTTTTTTTTTTTTAAAACTACCGCCTCAAATAAGGCTCATATTATTAAAGAACAAAAAAAGTAACAAAACTATAACCAACTCAAAATCAAGTAAATCTGTAAAATGATAAACCTATATAATCTCGCATTTTTTAAATTTCATTTGTATGATCCATTTCCTCTCAATTTATACATTTCCGTTGGGCTTTTAGATAGAAAATTTATTTGTCAATTGCTCTACTTGGTGGTAGTTAAAATCCTTAAAAAATAAAATTTAAATTTAAAAATTTAAAAAATTTAAAAAAAAATAAAAAAAAGGAAAAATTGAAACGATTATTATGCAGTGACCATGCTTAACATATGAAATCTTAATGCGCAAAATGTAAATAATGAAAAATAAAAACAAAGCATTGGGGAATCTTCTTCTTCTTCGATTATTTCTTTTCTCCAATTTGAACAAGCCTTCTCTGTAAAATCAAATCCAAAATGCAAAGATCTAACTCTGCGTTTACTGTAAATTTGTTTATTTGCTCTTGCAGCATTCCCTGTGCCAAAAGCTCACAATGGGTTTGGATTTTGGTTTGATCAATTAAACTTGAACATAAAAATGAAAACATTATTATTAATTTGGTATCTTAATGTAGCTGGGAAACATTTCTAAGTTACACTTCGGATCTGTTTCCCTTTCCATCTTCAGTCAAACCCACATTCATCGGGAAGATAAAAAATATTTCATGTTGGTACTTCAACAACGTGCCCTTAAACTTGAACTACCTTCAGTATCACAGTAGGATACCGACGGTCACTATTTAACTATTTCGATATGTGACATGAACATCTGTATTGTAAACATGTTGACGTGACAATTTTTATGACAGTCTTGTTTTCCATAAAAAAACTCAATCCAAGAGCCACTCCTCTGGGTTACAAGCACACTCTACCAGCTGATCAATAGGAGTGATGGATTACTTAAAATTATCACATCAAGTGTGAACTAAATAATTATAATAATAATAATTATTATTATAATTATTATTATTATAACTACTATTTATAAAGAAAAATGCTTATTGGCGGTATTAAGCACCCCTATTAATAGAAGAAGAGCCTCATTTATGGACTTTATATTGTAAGATTTATCTTTTATTAATAGATGGTGAGCAGCATATTTATCTTTTATTAATAAGTGGTGTGCAACACCATCGGTATGAAATAACATTGTTGATTTATAAACTCAAAAACAGAAATTCTTTTCTACTTTCAATTTGACATGCTTTTCCATATCATCACATTCACCACTCCTAACTGTGCTTCTAGTAAAGATTAGAGCTAAAAGATTCCATGGACCACTTGGACATCTTGTAGACTTGTAAACGTATTTGAGTCTTGAACTTGAACCAAAAAAGACTCTTCTACGGTTGGTTTAGGCAATACCTTTCTGACTTTCTGCAGATTAATCGAACTTATCCCCTAACTAGAATTCCCTCGCACATAGGAATAGGATATATTCACTACTTTCTTAGCCTCCTTTTCAATTACTAACGGCACAAGTAGACGATTTCTGCTAGTTCAACAGGTCAACATATAAAGTGTGGTCCTCTCAAGACAATATTTGCCTAATAAAGACAAATAAATCGGCAAAAATATTTTTCTAAAAGCTGGTTTTTGGGTCAAAAAAACTCACGCCTGCGTAGAAGCTATTGGACCCAACCATGAGATTCTCATGTTTAATCTTCAAGTGGAAATGGACCCAACCAAAAAAAAAAAACAACAAAGAAGTTTGGAAAGAATCCAAAAGGTTTCACATTAAAAAGTAGCCATTTCTTGCTGATTGAAGTGCAGTACAAAGGATTCCAATATTATCTCCATCTCTTTCTTTCAAGGTCTTTAGTGACTTTTAAGCAAGGGATATAATGTTCACATTTAAATAAATAAGTGAATGAGAGATATCAACTAGCATCAAAGGCCTACAAGCATCCAAAATCTATTTTCTTAGTTTTTACTATAGGCTTATTAATTATCTTTTTTTCTTAAAAAAAAAAAAAAAAAAAAAAAAAAAAAAAAAAAAAAAAAGATTTTCCCCCACAAGATTAGTGGAAAAAGTCAATTGTCATAGAAATTTGAGATGTGAATAAAAGGACAGAAGTTCCATAGGGGAAAATGTGGTTTACTACAATGAGAGATTTTGTTGAAGTTTCGTTGGGTTTTCCAAAGACTTTGTTGACATGTTTACGTTTGGATCAGCATTTGCAATGAAAGTGCCAGCTTAGTATACGTAGTGGGTGGTACATAGAACAGAAAATGCACGTGTTTTGAATACGAAAACAAACGGTAAAAGAGAGAGAGAGAGAGAGAAACAATGTTGGTTGAGAAAGGCTTTACTTTATTTCCATTCAGCCTTTTTTTTTTTTTTTTTTTTTTTGGGTCTGAATAAACATGGTTTTACAAATTTCTTTCAATTAAAAAAAATAAGGGACTTTTTTCTTCAGAAGAAAATAAAAGATTAAGAGTTGTAGGAATTTCGTAGTAATTTTGCTGACGACTCCAATATGATCCAAAAGCTTACACTTGATCACCAGCGGAGAAAAACAAAAGGCAGAAACTCACATGGTCTAAGAAGTTTTACTTTGACCAGTCAACATATGGTTTTTTTCACGTGAATTGTTGAAATTATACTTAAAGTGTATTGATTTATATTTTTATCTTTTATTTTTAATTAATGTAGTATTTTATCTAAAAGGAATATTAATTAAAATAAAAAAATAAAAATTCAGACTTATACATTTTAAAGGATACTTAACTCTTTTCTCCTCTGCTTCATAGAAGTCAGTTTTTCCAGCCCAATATACTCACCGTAAATCAGAGAAAACTCACTTTTTCCGAGTCATAAAAGTATCATTTTTTTTTTAAAATAATGTTAGCAAATGGTGGAATTTGAAATTTATTGTAATTAATAGCAGGGTTTTGTACTCTGGTAAAGAAACAGAAATTGCAACACAAGATAATTCTTTGGGAGTTTGATCTCTAATAGGACAATTCTACTAGTAGTGTCAGTTTATATATGACCGTTAGATTTAGTCAAAATCAAATCAGATTAAAAAAAATATACAGAGCAGACAGTTTTAATACATATCTGCAAAATATTAAACTATTAATAATTTATTTTTTTTAGTCCTACAAGAGAAGTTCCCTATTTCTTTTGTAGCATCTATATTAATAATAATTTTGGATAAATTAACTAAGACATCAGCAGTAGAAAGTTCTGAGTAATTAGAAAGTTGCTTTGAGGAGTAGGATTGATATAATTTGGCTCAGACGGTCATCAAGGGTAAAAGAAGGAATGTAAACCACCAAAATTAGGCTTCGTTGCTTCTCCAAAATCCCATACTGTTTTTTGACGATCCATTCTAAGGAACAATTTTCGGGCTTAGTATAAAGGGCAAAATAAAACTCGAGTCTTATATCATTTAAATGCAAAATTATGAACATCGACTTATTTAATAGGTTGACTTTTTAAAATGAAAGTCAAAGTTCTTAAAACATTCAAATTCCAACACGTAACTTGCTTGTTTATGTCCTTGAGAACCGGCTTGGCTTGCTTAAGGTTTTCAGATTACTTGTTACAATATCACGATTGAGTCTAATTACAAAAATGCACGTGTGATTACAACCATATAAGTGATTCTAGCAGAGAATTGCTCATGTCCATATCAACCAAAATCTCCAAAGGAACAACAACGTCACAACTAGCTATCTCGTTTTTGGATGCCAACCCTCCTAGCTGAGATCATCAAGTTTAATTTAATTAAGTTTGAGCGTTGGTTGTACTTTGTAGGGATTCAACGAGATAAAGAGGCAAATAAGATTTGTTTTCAAAACTGGTTTTTGAGTAAATAACAAGTTTTTGACTCAATTGAAATAAATGACATATTTATTGATAAATACGCATTTTTAACCAACATAAATATAA